CTAAAAATACAAAATTAGCCAGGCACGGTGGCACCTGTAATTCCAGCTACTCGCCTTTAAGCCCAGGAAGCTAAGGTCAGAGAACTGCTTGACCCCTGGAGGTGAAGGTTGCAGTGAACTGATATTCACCATTGCATTACAGCCTGGGCAACAGAGCGAGACTCTGTCTCAAGAAAAAAAAAAATTCTATTTCCTTTATCATATCAGACGTTGCCTATAGTTTGCTGTAAAAAAAAAAGTATGTGAACAGCCATTTCTGCTAGCCAAATAATGCCTACTGTTGTTAATTTTTATAAGACATGTGCTTTTCATATTACTGGAGGAAAAGTAAGCCATTTTTACTGAATTCATTTAATATAATAAAAAACTTTTTTTAAACCCTACACAGAAAATCTGGAGTTCCCAAATCTTTTGCAATCTTTAATTTCTCCGATAGAAGAGCTTCAGACTAGCAACATTTCATACTACCAAATCTTATATTAAAATGTTCTGTTTAGATATAAGAATGAGCAAAGCTATTGAAGAAGTTCATATAATTTAAGAATCAAATCTAATAACTTCATAAAAAACCCTCATTGCAATTAGCAAGTTTTCATTTACTTTTTTTTGGAGATGGGTTTTCATAAAAGAAATAAAAAGACCCAAGAGCAAATTATTGTCTTTTGCAACAATACTCTCAATTTTGTACAGCAGAATAATTTTTGAATATTTATGAAAATCATCCAAATTTCTCACATTAAGAATTAAGGAAAAAAAGGTGGCATATATATGCTAATGAAATATTCAATATCTATTTGAATATTTATACTTGGTACTATTTTTCTCTGATAACTCAAATAACTGGGCAACTCAAGGTGGACTGGTCTTACAAATGCAGGCCAACAGATTCTGTAATTCTCCTTTATTACCTATATTTCTATTTCTTAAAAATCTGAATCAACCCATTTAATTCTTTCAACTACAGCACAAAGAAATAAAATGAAGCCCTGAGCTACATTTAATGATTTAATTGTTAAGTAGCAATACACCTGCAAAAGAAAAAAATCAATTAATATTTCCATATAATTCTATCACCAGGTTAAACTTTAAAAATAACTTGGTCAGGAAGGAAACTATTAATGAGCTTTATTTCCTGGGTGCTTAGATCACACACACAAATATACACATACATACATATACACATAAGTCAACAGCTCCACATTTCCCTTATTGTCATCCTGAGGTTTACTGAATATGACATTAAAGAGTTTCTCAAATTTCCACAGGTCTAAGAACTTATTTCATTTTTAGAAAATATCCTGATACAGAAACCAGACTATATAGAAACAAATCTACATTAATACTAAATAATCAATAGCTAGGAAAAACAATTAATTGCTAACCGATTTGTCAACATGACTTGTTTAAAAAAGTTACTGTTTCAGCAATTTATTTATTGAAATAGTTTAAAAATTAAAAGGCTTTGTGTATTAAAACCATGGTTTCTGAATCACAAGGCCATACACGTGTACAAAGGGAATGTTTTAATATGAACGGGACACCAGCCTGGAAGTCTGGCTTGCTTGCAATTGACTCTAGATCAAGAATTCTTTAAGCCTAAAGTCAAACAAGGGAAACTCACAAATCACAGGAAAAAGCCCAGTCATCTTGAAAAACTCTAAACCCTCAGTTAAATGTCATAACTTTTTTATGAACACTAAGTCACAGCGGGCCAATGAGAAACTAATGGAAATCCTTAAAACTGACTACAGTCTGGGTTAGCAAGAGACAATCATATAATAGGTACAATTTAATGAAACTGTTTGTGTTAGGAGTTTGAAGTTTCCAGGAAACTAGCTCCTGAGTTATCTCAAAACCAAAACCAAAAAATCAATTACTACGAAGTGGCCTCTTCATCTTTTCCTTTAAAGCACCATTAAAAAGTGGCTGAAAGAAACCTTTTCATATGTTTTGAAGTCATATACAGAGCTGAGAATTAAAAACTAGCTGTATTCGAGTCTGCATCAAATATCATTTTGAATTCCATGGATCTGTGATGGCATAAGAATGGGTATGCAATAAGAGGTGGAGATCTGTAGGGCGGGGAATATGGAAAGAACATCAGCAGCTGGTCAAGAGAATCTTAAAATGGACTCTTAAGAAAAACAGACTTCAGGAAGGACATAATAAACTTTTCTTCTCTAAAATAAGTCAAATCTTCTAACGTTGCTTTCAAATTTTGTTGTATATCAACTCCATCCTTTGTTGTTTTTCTTATTTGATTAGAACCATCTGGGAGATCCTCCTTTCTTTTATTAGTTCTATAAAAATCATCTTTAAAAACTTTTTAATATACAATACAATGAGAGATTTTATTAATGATTGAATTTTCATATATGCAGAGAAAGCATCATCATATCATGTAACCTAGAAAGTCGGTTCTTTATAACGGAAAGAAAGAATTTGGGGAAAAACAGGTAAAAGAAAAACTGCTCATACCCACATACTAGTTTTAAAATTATTTTCTTTCCAATTAAAAAAAAATACTAAAAAGTTACAAAAAGTTGTAGCTCTAAAACTGCAAAGTGGAAATAAAAAAAACTCACTGCAATAAAGGCAATGAAATAATTAAATAATTTTATGTAAAGTTTAGCTTCCCATGCTTATTTATTCATTTGTTTTCAAAATATCCTTTTAAGTTAACTGTTTGAAATTTTCCTTGGTTCACTTATAATTTATTAATACTTTACTATAAAGTATGATTTCTCTTTGCATTATTTAGTCAGGATAAAGGATGGTATTGATAAACACAAGGATATAAAAAGTCGATTATGCTTATTCCTAATCCAGGAATAAATGAAAACCAAAATTAAATTAACTCATAGACTTTATGACTTCCCTTCCTCTTTGTTACTACTGTTTATATAGCTGTAGCATTACCACTTTCATACTAGAAAATGTTTGTTTCTCCTGCTTGGATTTTATCATAAATCTCTGAATGCTCACTTTCTCACACAATAGTACTTCATCAAAGGATGTAATTAGTCCCACTAAAGCAAGAACACATGATAAACTTTCGGATAAGAATTAGAGTCACTTAGTCTAGCCCAGCGGCATGACCAATTCAACCTGGTCATGTATACAATGAAAAGAATAATATTTAACCCACAGGAGTATGGTGATGAGGCTCACATGAGATTTATGTATGTAAAAGAGCTTTGAAATGTTTAAAGTGCCATATAAATGTGAGGGTCTCAGTCTCTTCCTCTGTCATATGGGAGGATTCAATAAAGTGATCTCTAAAGACTTGAAACTAAAAATTCCTAGCTAGTCACATGTGAAGCACATTTTTAAAACCCACTGTTAGGATATAATTGTATTGTTGTAAGGGACTTAGGGAACAATGAGGTCAACCTTCTTATCTTACAAAATGTGTGAAAACAGGTTAAGATACTTGTAGAGCACAGTCAGTAGCAAAGTTGGGAATTGAAAGGACTCAGATCTGAGCCCCACCTCAAATTCCTTTCTGTCATATATTGCTGTTCACTATTCTGTGAATTTAAAATCTCATAGGATCATGTATAAATATTATTTTGGTGAAATGACTGAACTGCTAATAGTGGAATACAGAATGTTTACAAATGACACTTAATAGTAAAAGGAGCTCAGACTAAATTGTCCAGCTATTCGTTTGGTTTGTGTGGTATTAAATTTTAAGTTGGCCAGGGGCAGTGGCTCAGGCCTGTAATCCCAGCACTTTGGGAGGCTGAGGTGGGCGGATCACAAGGTCAGGAGATTGAGACCATCCTGGCTAAAAAAATGAAACCCTGTCTCTACTAAAATTCAAAAAAAAAAAAAACAAAAAAAAAAAACCCTAAAACATTAGTCAGGTATAGTCACACGCACCTGTAGTCCTGAGGAGGCTGAGGCAGGAGAATCGCTTGAACCCAGGAGGTGGAGGTTGCAGTAAGCCAAGATTGCACCACTGCATTCCAGCCTAGGGAACAGAGCGAGACTCCATCTCAAAATAAATAAATAAAATTTAAGTCAATAGACATGATGTAGACCCTATCTAACCTCTCCCAATACACGGTTTTGAATCTGCTTTTGGTACTTACCAGTTATGTGATCTTGGGCGATTTACTTTTTTTTTTTTTTTTTTGAGATGGAGTTTCGCTGTTGTTACCCAGACTGGAGTGCAATGGCACGATCTCAGCTCACCGCAACCTCTGCCTTCTGGGTTCAAGCAATTCTCCTGCCTCAGCCTCCTGAGTAGCTGGGACTACAGGCGCGCACCACCATGCCCAGCTAATTTTTGTATTTTTAGTAGAGACGGGGTTTCACCTCGTTTACCAGGATGGTCTCAAGCTCTTGACCTCGTGATCCACCCGCCTCAGCCTCCCAGAGTGCTGGGCTTATAGGCGTGAGCCACCGCTCCTGGACTAACAACAATGTCTAGTACATAGTAAGTGCTTACAAATGTTAGTTCCTGTCTCTAATCTTCCAAACTTTTGAGGAATAGAGAACACTCTCCCCGTTTTTACTTCATCAGAAAGTAAATGAAATAAATTCCTTAAATGAAAGTAAATTTCTTAAATGAAATACATACGATCTCCATCCTCTACTTCAGTAATCAGCAGCTGCATAACAACTAAACCTAAATAAAATAGGGAACATTATGACATAGTGGAAGGCAAATATGATTTGGAGTCAACAGATATAAGTCTGAATCCCACCTTAATTCTTTAAGAGCTTCTGACCTCAAGCAATTTACCAAACCTCACCAAACTTTTCAGGTTAAAATGAGATTGCTATCTAGCTTTTTATCATTTTGTCTTACATATTCACAGTTAAGTTGCAAATAGTTTGAAAAGGGCATGTCTTATTCATCTTTGTCTCCTCCATACTACTATGGCAAGGTTTAAAATTATTGGATTTTTGCTGGAATAAGACAGGAGATTAATAAAAGAGATTCAAGACTTGAATAAACATGTTACATTATGGAAAGAAAAAGTACAAACCTGGTTTAACTGGCTCCAACTCTGAGCATTATGTCATTGCTTTCTTTTCTTTCCTTACAAATGGATCTCCAGTATTCTTTTCCTATTAGAAGATGCAAAATAGAGAAGATATATTAATGAAGGGCATTTGAATCACTGTTTAAAACTAAGTATTCTTTAATTCACTATAATGCAAAATCAAACTCTTATTATTCTATTGTTTTTAAGCTATAAAATAACTAAGAGGTGTTTTAATTGGTTAATACAACAGAAACATTATAGGCTTAGGTAGCCAAAAAGTAAACATATATTGCATTAAAATAAATTTATTCCTTACTTCAAAAAATTACTTTTCAAAGAATAGCAATACCTCTGTTAAAGATAACTTCACCATTCAGGGGTTACATGAAGCAGTGTAGTTTATTATAATATATTTACAAAAATACTTCTGGTTCCTATAGTTCTTAACCTTTTGGGTGCAAGATGAGTGGTGTGTTATATAAAACTATGATAATCCAAAAGAAGCTGTAAATTTTATCCTCATAAAAATGTATATACATGTCTGTATCTTGCATATAATTTTAGTTGAGTCATGAAACCCAGTCATGTACCCTGTGGATCTCGAAAACGTGTTGGTAGACTGAAGGTAATCTCTGTTCTTGAGTTTTTAAAAACGAACAGACTTGTAGAATTTAAAAACTTTAAGCATTTTAGGAATCATCTAATGGACACTGCTAGAAGAAGAATGAAGAAATAGTGATCCAGAGAGATGAAAAAGATTAAATAAGGCCACACTGTACTCAAGAAGAGAGAAATGTTCAACCACCATATTAATCCACATAAGACTGATTATGCAAAATTTAGTGTAAATCAGTGCCTTCGAGTCAGAGTAATTCTCACAATACAACCAGAATAGGAGACTTCACAGTGCCTAGTACATAGCAGCTCATGAAATGATATGAATTAAAAAATATTTGTCAAGTAATGAAAATAGATAAAATATAAAAACACAATTTCCAAGTAAATGAAATATTTTCTAGCTGGACAAAATAAGTAGCAAACTTAAACATTTATTATCTACTATATAACATTATATAATACCCTACTATTTAAGACTGCTTAGTTTTAAAAACTGATTCAAGGCTGGGTGTGGTGGCTCAAGCCTGTAATCCCAGCACTTTGGGAGGCCGAGGAGGGCCAGGTCAAGAGATCGAGACCATCCTGGACAACATGGTGAAACCCCATCTCTACTAAAAATACAAAAATTAGCTGGGCATGGTGGCGTGCGTCTGTAGTCCCAGCTACTTGGGAGGCTGAGGCAGGAGAATTGCTTGAACGGGCGAGGTAGAAGTTGCAGTGAGCCAAGATCATGCTGCTGCACTCCAGCCTGGTGCCTGAGACTCTGTCTCAAAAAAAAAAAGGTGATTCAAAAAGGATAAATTTGTCCTCCTTTTAAGAGTAATTAGGCAAAGACATAGAGCTTTTCCCTTCCCAGTTTTCTTTTTGCGTTGCTCTTTTTCCCTTTCCTCCTAGGGTTCAGTGTTTTGCCCACTTCACACTCTACTCATATTTTCTGTATTCCTCTCAGGACTGGGAGGAACAGAAATGAATACCCTGAATCCTGACCTTCACCTGAGCCTCTGACTCCTATATCCAGTTTGCCGGAAGTTTCCAACTGAAGGTACTGTAGGCAAAAACTCAGAATATCCAAAACTGTTCATCTTTTCCTAAAATCTGTTCCTTTTTAAAAGTCCCTGTCATAGCAGAACCACAGTCCCTTACCTTCTCAAGCCAAAAGTTTGGCAGTAATTTCACATTTTACCAGTCATCTTCAATTCTTATTGATTTCTACTTTAAACACTTTCCAAGTCTATTTCTTCAACTCCATCCAAATTATCTCTCAATATGACCAAATGAGGAAAGTTACTCATCTTCCCACCTCTACTCTTAACCTACCTCAAATTTATTTACATACTTTTGCCAACGTAAGTGGTTTAAAATAAAAATTTTGTTACATCAAGCACTATCATATATCAAACCCTCATTATGTTAAAGTCTTCAATAGCAACCCAGCACTAACAGAATAAAGTCCCTTATTCAAAGAATAAATGTCTAGGTATGACATATGAAGTCCTCATTTCTATCTCTTCAGCTTAATTTCCTATCCCCCACTTTATTGCACCACAGCCAGACTGAACTATTTGTCAATCCCATGTATTCTCATGCTGTTCTCTTTGCCAGTAAATCTTTACCTACCTTCCATACATGGGAAATTCTTACTTACTCAGGTACAAGCTCACTTTCTCTGGAAACCCTGACCACAGCATACTTCTCTACACCACCAAGGTCACACATCATTGCAACAAGCACTCAGGAGATATTTCAGTGAATATTCATGAAACTAAGCAAACTAATGACAAAGAAGGTGATAATTTATATACATAAAACCAGTGAGAAGGCAAACTAATGAATTTTAGTAAGTCTCTTTGGAGAAAATTTCTTAACCTGGGGAATCCAAGGAGTAATTGTTCAGATTGTTGAAGAGGGGAAAGAAAAGTATTTGAATGAGTAAAACAGATGGAAATGAATACACTCACAGGAAGCTAAGAAGACATGTATTGCAAGGTTTGGAGGAGCAGTAAACAGCAAATATAAATTAACAAATGTAGCTATCCTTCTACAGAGGCTTAGATACTACAACCACTAATTCACCAAAGACCTTCAAACGTTTTTTTCTGAAACCATATGGCATGGCAAAGTTGACATTTAGGTACTACCCTGTACCTCTGTTAGAGATTTATTAGAGAAATGCTTTCACCTTTTAGTCACTTCCTTGCATTCTTCAGGCTTAAGAAGGTATCCCCACTTTAATTTAGCACTTACTGATGAACTTTACATAAAATTCTCAAATTCTAACACATCTCTATATTGCATAATAGTTTATTGAAATTGAAATAAGTTAACATAAGACTCTCTTTCAAAATGGTCAAAGGCTGGTTAATCTTAAAACACAGGCTTTAATACCAGAATATTAGGTTGCTTCAAATTAGCAGGGAAAGTGAAAATATAATATGCTCGATGTTCAACTCACAGAGGATGTCAACTGCAAATATTTTGCTTTCTAAATGCCATATAATTAAAAAGCATCTATCCTTTTTTTTTTTTTTTTGTAGGAAGGGAGGAAGGCAGGAAGGGAGGGAGGGAGGGAGGAAAGAAGGGAGGGAGGAAGGGAGAGAAGAGAAGGAAGGAAATCAGGCAATGAGAGAGACATTGCCGACCTGGATCTAGAGGTCTACAAGTTGATTTCTTTTTTTCTTTTTTTTTTTGAGAGAAGGAAAGAAAAAAAAAGGAGTGAAGGAGAGGAAGAAAGAGGAAGAAAAAGAGGGAGAGAGAATGAAAATATTGCTTTATTCTAAAAAAATGAGTATTAATAATGGCCAATCAATATTTCATTTAAACCTATGAGTAGGTGTGATGTGGTATTGACAAGAATGTATATTTTGTGTATTTAAAGTGGAGAGCTCTGTAAATATTTATTAAGTTTACTTGTTCCGGATCTGAGTTCAAGTCCTTGATATCCTTACTAATTTTCTGTCTTATTGAGTCTAAGTCTCTATGTATCTGGGTGTTAGGATCGTTAGCTCTTATTGTTGCACTGATCCTTTTACCACTATATCTTTGTTGCTTTAAAATCTATTTTATCAGATACGAGAATTGCAACTCCTGCTTTTTATTTATTTATTTATTTTTGCTCTCCATTTGGTTGGTAAATCTTTCTCCATCCCTTTGTTTTGAGTCTTTGTGTATCCTTGCATGTGAAATGGGTCTGGATGTAGCATATTGTTGGGTTTTGGCTGTATCTTTTGATTGGGGGATTTAGTCAATGTAAATTTAGGATTACTGCCATTTGATGTTAACTGGCTGTTTTGTCCATTCATTGATGTAAATTCTTCTTTATGTTGATGCTCTTTATTTTTTGGTATATTTTTATAAAGGCTAATACTGGTTGTTTCTTTCTATGTGTAATGCTTCTTTCAGAAGCTCTTGTAAAGCAGGCCTGGTGGTAATAAAATCTCTGAGTACTTGCTTGTTCATAAAAGATTTTATTTTTCCTTCAGTTGTGAAGCTTAGTTTGGCTGGATATGAAATTCTGGGCTGAAAGTTCTGTTCTTTAAGGATGTTGAATATTGGCCCCCACTCTCTTCTGGCTTGTAGAGTTTCTGCTGAGAGATCTGCTGTAAGTCTGATAGGCTTCCCTTTGTGGGTAACCTGACCTTTCTCTCTGGCTGCCCTTAGTATTTTCTCCTTCGTTTCAACCCTGCTGATTATGTGCCTTGGGGTTGCTCTTCTAGAGGAATATCTTTGTGGTGTTCTCTGTATTACCTGGGGTTGAATATTGTCCTGCTTTGCTAGTTTAGGAAAATTTTCCTGAATAATATCCTGAAGAATATTTTCCAGCTTGGATTCATTCTCTCCGTCCCATTCAGGTACCCCTATCAAACGTAAATTTGGTCTTTTTACATAGTCCCACATTTCTTGGAGACTTTGCTCATTCCTTTTTATCCTTTTTTCTCTAATCTTGTCTTCTCGTTTTATTTCATTAAGTTGGACTTCGACCTCTGACATCCTTTCTTCTGCTTGAACAATTCGAGTGTTTAAACCTGTGCATACTTCTCGGAGTTCCTGTATTGTATTCTTCAGTTCCATTAATTCACTTATATTCCTCTCTAAGTTGTCTATTCTCGTTAGGATTTCGTCAAACCTTTTTTCAAAGTTCTTAGTTTCTTTACATTGGGCTACAACATGTTCTTTTAACTCACAGAAGTTTCTTATTATCCATGTTCTGAAGCCTGATTCTGTTAATGGGATGCGCTCGTTCTCCATCCAGCCCTGTTCCCTTGTTAATGAGGAACTGTGATCCTCTTTGGAGGGAGAGGCATTCTGATTTTGAGTATTCTCAGCCTTTTTATGCTGGTTTCTTCCCATCATTGTAAATTTATCCACCTGTCGTCTTTGTAATTACCAATTTTCAAATTAGGTCTCTGAGTGAACGTCCAAGTTGTTAATTCCCAGGGCTGAAATATGAGCAACCTACTGCGCCGG